ACACTCGAATAATTATTGAGGGCACTGATTTTTAAGGGAACCCTAGACTGCGATTATACTAGTATTGTGGGAGGTTTACAAGGTTTTAGTGTTCCCATGGTTCTGCATGCATCATTAACAATATTTGATATTTGAGTCTCGTTTCGGTGTATACAGTATGATAAGGAGGAGATTAGCCTGAGGTCCCGGCATTTCTCAAATATAGAGGCAGTTTGCGTAAAACGTTATACATTGCATACAGGAGTTCGTTGAACAAAGCAAAAGAAAAAGAAAACAAAGGTGTCGCGATAAACTATTGCAGCCCCCCCCCCCCCCCATACAAATACAAAACAATGGTAAATGTTTTTTTTATGATTAAATCACATATATTTATAATTTAAAAAATAAATAAATAAATTATGTTAACAAAAGAATAGTACTTTCCAAATTGAGCCCTTATGGGTTATGGGAGAGTTAAAGGAAGACAACAATATCAGGAAGAGTGAATAAGAGAACTGTGGGGATAAAAGGAGGGATAACAACAAAGAGAGTGGTGGGAAGATAGAGAGTGTGAATAAATGAAGGGGATACAGGAGAGAGGGGGAGGGAACTAGAACAAGAAAATAATGCCTACATGCAAACGAGAGGTAGAGAAAGATAGGGAAAAAACAGAGGAAAAATCTCTTATATTTCACTGAACTAGCCTTTTTTCTATATGGGTGCGCTCTCTTTCTCTCTCTCTCTCTCTCTCTCTCTCTCTCTATCACATGCAAACACGCACACACACACGCGCACCCTCTCACGCACCGGCCCACACACAAACGCACACACACACGCACACACACCCACACACACACATACATTCCATTTTCTTAAGGTAGGCCTATACACGGGAAAATATATTTATTTTCTTGTAATTTTCATGTAAGTGGTGGTGTTAGGGGACGCAACTAATGGGGGGGGGGCGTTTTGCTATCCAAGCAGGAGAAGGGGACTTCAACATTTTCAAAATTCTTCCATCTCTTTATGTGATGCTGTTAATGTTGGTAGGTTGTTGGTATAGTCGTTACGGGTGAGAGGGGCATGCCTGAAGAGCATCTCGATATCACCGTTTTCACCACACAACCAATTTTCTCGTAACATTCAAGGGCAAAACCCAAGGCCTTGCTTTTAAAAATGCTTAAATCATGTGAAAACACTAAACTTCAAGGCTCATGATCGTTGCTTCCCCTTCTGACCTATATTCATCATATCAACACCTCAGTCACACTAACAAGACCAATATGTGATCGAACCGATAATGGCATGGCTAAGAAGAGATTCGTTTGGAGTCTTTGTGAAATCGTTTGCTGGTGAGACTTGCGTTATTAGTCATACCAAGCGCCGTACCAGGTGCAGACGACAGGACTGGAGATGGATCGAAACCAGCGATCGAAACAAGCTGACCCAAACGTACTTTCTACATGTGGTTGGTCATGTGTCGTTGCAAACTGAATAACTAAATATGCAAATGGGACGCATGCTCATGACTGGCGAGTACGGTAAAGTGCATTAGCAGGAGTTTCACACCGATCATATTCCTTTCGAAATGACCATAAAAGGTCAGAATCAGAGGATATATTTCAAATATGGAATACTTTAGAAATATTAGGGTTATGCATTCTTCCTAGCTTTCACCCATGTGGGTAATAAAATTAAACTGCAGACCTTTTTTCGGAACTGATAATTTAAGTCATAATGAAAGATAAGACAAATGCGATTGCGTCTCGTTTATGCCTCCGCCCTAAATTCACTATAGGAAATTATGGATGAAATTATTCATGACATATCACGATGAAAACAAAAAGTCTGTAATCAAATGTCAACTGACGACTATGATCTTGACCTACTAGCCCAAAAATGTAATTGGATCATCTTCCTATAATGATACTGTCACCATGTTTAGATATTGCGATAGCAAGGCTTAAAACCTTTAATTTCAGAAATTGACCTCAACAATGACCTTTGTTGATACATAAAAACACCAAGTTGAGGCTAATACCTTTAATTTTTTTAAGATACCGCGATAACAAGGATAAAACCTGTAATTTTAGAAAATGCCCTTTAGACCTTTGACCTACTAACCAAAAATCTAATCAGATCATCTACCTTTGGTGATACATAAGATATATTATCAACAAGTTTAAGCCTCATATTTCTAGTGGTACTTGAAATATTGGGCAACAAGGCCAATGACTGCAATTTCATAAGTTGACCTCTGTGACCTTTGACCTAGTACTCCAAAATCTGATGAGATTATCTTCCTATGGTGATACATACTGTCATTAAGTTTGAAGTTAATAAATTGAGTGGTTCTTGAGATATAGCGTTAACAAGAAAGCGAAACGGACAGACGGACAACCCGAAAACATAATCCCTCCAACACCACCTTCGGTGGACAGGTTAACCACTTTTCCCCCTCTTTGTTTATATTTTTATTTTACATTCTTCTCCCTCTCCCTCTCGCTTAATTTCACCCTCTACTCTCCCCTTCTCTTCTCTTAATTCTCTGTCCCTCCATCTCCTCCTTATTTACCTTCCTCCAACCCAATCAATATGGGCGCTACCAATCTACTCTCTCATAGCATGTTTTACCAATTGTCATTTATTAGCTTATGTATAACGAATTATGAACACATAGAACATTTTATCTATTAATAAAAGTAACAAAATTGATTTTATTGATGAGATTATACATTCATTTGAAGCTCAATGAAATATAAGTCATACTTTTATCGTTGTATCTTAGATACATGATTTGAAATCATAAACTACGTACATGTATAATTTTGGTCATATGGAGGGAAAATGGCAATTTGAGGACGTGTAGATACATCAGTAAAATCAAAAGATGGAAGAGAAACAGAAAGAGAGAAACAGAAAGAGAGACAGAGAGAGAGAGAAAGAGAGAGGGAGAGAGAGAGAGAGAGAGAGATAGTAAGGAATAATTGAAATTCGTTTGGAAGAATAAGACAATATCTATTCATGCTGTTAACAAAATAATATCTGCAATAAAAGAAGTTAAAAGTTATTGGTACATGTACTTGTAAAGTTAAAAAGGGGCATAAAATAAAGGAACATTTAATACAAAAAATCATTATATCTATCCATGATAGAGGGTTGTGGAACAGCATGATCGCCAAAGTCAAACAATATGGCACTTAGAGAGAGAGATATTAGAAATGTCAAGTTTTTAAAACACTGACATCAAAAGAGGAAAAGGTTTGGTTAGTAAAAAGGAAAGAAGACATTAATGTCAATGCAGAGGAGACTGGAGACTTAATTAGAAAGTGAAGATTACCTACTCAACAGATCATTTATACATCCCATTTCAGTTCATAGTACTTGTACATTGACCGATTAATCATTAATTTAATTATTTGTTAACTCATTAATAGAAACGCCTTATAATGAAATAAAGTTTTTTTCGAGTACATGTTATTGAATGAAAGTGGCTTCTTAGTTTTATTAGCTCTTGAGAAACTGCACTTATATTTACAATTTAACTGTAAGCAGAATGTTTGAAAATGTAAAACATGGGTATTGTCATGAACATTTTGCACTGATCACAAATTTCAACAGAAGTGTTAGAGTTACAAGTACTTACTTCTAAGACCAATATATAAATGTTTCCATAAAGTATAGAAAAATAACTTTTTAAAAGATCTCCATTCATGTTTTAGATTTTGATAGGCACACACATTTTAATAAAAAATCCTTAAAGAAATGGAAAATATATTTTAATCTAAATTGAAGTTAGCATAGTTTAACAAAAATCTTTTAAAGAAGCGATAAACAACCTAATAGACATAACCAATAAAAAAGGAAGAGAAAAACACGAAAAATTGACATATGGAAAGAGAAAGGGAGGAAATTGACCTAAAAATGATTAAAAGATCATTGCAGGAAGTGATATTGTCTGAAGATATAAAAAGTGCTTATAATTTTCTTCTTTTATAATCAGATGAAACTCTATTTTATCTATAACAAATACAATGAAAAATCTTATGATCTGTACATTATAATGTATAGGCAAATTTCACCTGAAGGAATCAAAACTCTGCAAATTTGTCAAGGAAAGTTAAAGGCAAGACACTTTTAAGCAAAGAGTGGGGAGGGAGGAGACGGAGACATACAACCAATCAAAATGTTTTAGACATCAAGCTGAAACTTCAAGTAAAATACAAATTCTGAGAAAAGCTTTCAACTTTGCTGATACCAGGCAGAAGAAATACAAATTCCTGTCAAGTGCCAAGTCTGGATTTTGCACCCTTTCACAAAAGTTGCTTTCGCTCACTCAAGTATGAAATATGAAACAATATCCAATCCAATCCAAAAAATATTTTATATATTTGATTTTCCTTGCGGTTACAAAGCGCTGCATAATGGTGACCACAAGCTATTCACAAATATACAAAAATTCCTGATAATATTTTGAACAATATATATTTTGAGGAGGCCTTTTCGAACAGTAAACATTTGTGAAGAATGCACTGGGCATTAAGTACATTATTTACATATGAGAAAGACAAAAAGTTTAAGAATATGAAAGGCCTAGGTCAAGGGTGAAAGGGTAGGTAATTGGAGGTGTATGACTAGGCTGAAGATGTCATGAACAGAGGGTGGGTCGCAAGAGAGGTGTCGTGGTCGAGTGGATATGTCAGTGGACTGTGGATCACAAGGTCCGCGGTTCAAGTCCCACCACGGCCCTTATGTCCTTTGGCAAGACATTGATCTACATTTGCCACTCTCCACCCAGGTGTTAAATGGGTACCTGGTAGGATGCGAAAGCTAATGTGGTTTGATTAGCAATGGAGCTTGTAAAATGGCGACTGGCTGGAATGCTCCCCAGGGAGTGGAAAAATGTGCATACCTTGTGTGCGGGTAAGCATGAATCCGATGACCGGGGTAATAATATATATCTGTAAAGCGCATTGAGAGGGCCTGCGTTCCTGAAATGCGCTATATAAGGACGAACTATTATTATTATTAACATCTCAGGCTTTATAAAGAAATGGCAGTGAAGTTTCATATGTCTGTTTTGAGTCAGAAGGGCGTTAACTCATACACTTTGATACAGACTGAACGTCCTTCTGGCTCTGTAGAGACAACTTGTCCTTTGGATGTCTGCAGCAAGACACCCGGGACCTGTTTCACAAAGCCTTTTTTCAATGACAAATGACAAAAGTCAGTGACAAATCTGCTGATAACCAATCAGAAGCAAGGATTTCACTAGCTTATAACAAAAACTGTCGTTTGTCACTGATGACAAGTTTTGTAAAAAGGGGTCATGGCAAAGTGCTGAGTGACTCAGAGTAATTGCTAGTACTGAGTTGTTGAGCAGAAACACAGCTATATATAATATGTATTCACACAAAAGTCATTCTTTAGCTCATGCTCAATATTACTGAATATGTGATCCCTATAATTCCCCAAATTCGTGGCAATAATAGCTCATACAGTATTGTATAGTACTCACACATGCATAGCCAGCTCTTCTTCACATGTTATTACATTCGCAATCACTATAATTCATCAAATTGTGAAAATAATGGCTTATTGTACAATACATATGTGCCTTAAGATGAAAGGGGAGGAACAAATTCTTTGTCACCGTTACAGCGTCGAAGCTCATCTGTTCTACTGGCACCAGTCGCTCCGGAAACGGTCCTTGCCTACTCTTTTTAGCATGCTGTAGGGGTATGGAAGTGCTACTGCACTGGCCTCATTCAAACGCTCCATCTATTGTTAGGTCATTAAAAAACACATTAAAAATAGCATTTTGTTCAATTTCAATGTTCTTTTTATACAATACATGCAAAGCAAATAATCACACTGTGCCACATTGTATGTACCATGGCACCATGAAGTTGTGGGATCTTAAGTAAGTTAACATTTAATATTTCTTTAATCTTCAATATGTTGAATATTTATTTAAATTATTTGTATGTGCCTTGAGCATCTCTAGAGATGGATATGTTGCGCTTTATAAATATTGTTATTATTATTATTATTATTATAATTAAATTCAAATACTTTTTCTGGTCAACTATATTCAAACTCTGTAATACAGTCAAACCAGCTTTAGTGACCACCTGTCTACAAAGACCACCTGCCTACAAAGACCACATTGTTTGTTCCCTTCAAAATGGTTTCTCATTGAAACATGTACTGAAGGAACCTGTCTACAAAGACCACTTTTAGTGTTTCCCTTGGGCGGTCATTATAGACAGGTTTGACTGTATAATATTCATCTGTGATATGTTTTCAAATGGTGACCCCCTATGGAAATCAGCTTTTGCTGTTAAGATTTTTCACCCCAGGGGAGGGAAATCGATAAATAAACAAACAAATGAATACTTCAAATTGTCACTCCAACAAAGTAACAGAAATTATTATGACAACAAAGCAGAAATACCTGATACCACTAGAGCAATAGTGATTATGACATGAACAGTATTAGTCTAGAGCCTTTTGTCTCTATTGATTACAAAATTAAGGGCACAGATCTTGGCAGTAATTTAACAATAAATCGAGGGGTCAGTGACACAAAGACGTAGTAACTCCATTCTGGCCATTTTTTTAGAAAGTATGGTTTAAAGATAGAGGTCCACTTGGGCCTTAAAGAGTTAGGTCTATGTTTCACTAGCCATTGACTTCAATGGGGTGTTGGGTAGAGTTAAGTCTTCATGTTTCCTGGAAAGCCCACATTTTTCTGAACATTTTGATATCAAATACTCATTTTGGCAAAATATGGAGTTACGACTTTGTGTCACTGAACCCTCAAAATGTTGCACATCATTTGTTGCCAGCAAGAAGACCATCACTGCCATTAACAATACATAGTAGCTCTTGTTGCTTTCTTGCATGCATGGGGGGGCGTTTCACAGAACTTGTCATCAGTGACAAATAACAGTGTTTGTTATAAACTACTGAAATCCTTGCTTCTGATTGGTTATCGGCAAATTTGTCACTGATTTTTGTCATTTGTCATTGAAAAAAGGCTTTGTGAAACGGGTCCCTGACAGTAACATGTACCTACCTGTTGGTCGGTGAGCTCCCATCCCGAGGATGCGCCCATGTTGATGTTGAGCTGTTCCAACGTCTTCACGCCGATGATGACGGAGCATACAGCTTCTTTCTGTAGCAGCCACCGAATAGCCACCTGGCTAACAGTCTTGCCTGTATTAAAAGAGCACAGGAAAAAAAAATCAAAATATTGTTTAGCCCCTGCATGTTTAGAGCAATCTATACAGAGTCTGGCCAACAAGGTTTCACTGGGTCACAACATGGCATACATTCTTTTTTTTGTGCTTGCCCAACAAAGCAGTAGTCGCCTTGCTGTGTCCAACTCGAACCGGGTTGGCCAAACTATGTGTATAAATGGCTTTGATACTGTTTATTGCACAGCGCCATCTCGTGGTCAACTTGCGAACAGTGAGCCACCCAATACCTCAAGTTTGCTTCGCAGACCGAAGACTTGATGCGATAACCATACTTATACAGCTGACCTCAGGTGGTGCTAGAGGCGATTTCGGGGTAGTGCTTCTAGGGCAGTATGGCTTTAAAGGCATCATTTAAAGGGATTGTTTAACAATGTTAAATCTGAGATACACGGCCCTACATGTTATCATTGCCTTTGATATGTTGTAATAATGAAGATCTAAAAAATTGCACTTCAAAATGATCATGAAGTGCCTCAAAAAAGTAAAAAAATCTTGAAGTGACCGGTTTTACCATACTCGTTTTCCCCAATAGACTATAGTGTTATGAAAACCGTTGGGAAAACGCAAAACGCAAAACTGGAGTTTGGAGCAAGAACATATGAACAACTCATTGTTTTTTAAATTGCTAGAAATGACATAATTTATTTCACAAACTTACATAAAAAATTGGCTGTAATCGTCTATGAATGTGACTTATTCGAGAGATGTTTCACAGCTCTTATTTGTTTTCTTGCCCCAAGACGAAAATCCAATTGAAACCAATTGAACACCAATTGAAATTTCATTTGGTTTCAATTGGTCCCAATTGGTTCCAATTGGTTTTAATTGGTCTCAATAGGTTTTAACAGGTTTCAATGGGACTTTAATAGGACTTCAGATGGTTTCAATTGGTCCAGATTGGCTCCATTGGACAAATTGGCCCCATTAGACTTTAATGGGTCCCCAATTGGTTTCAATTGGTCCAGATTGGCCCCATTGGCCCCATTGGCCTAGGCCCCATTAGACTTTAATGGGTCCCCAATTGGACCAATTGGCCTTAATTTGGACTTCAATTGGTCCAATTGCAACCAATTGAAATTCCATTAAAGTGTAATAGGGCCAATTGAAATAAATAGAAACTATTAGGACCAATGCTAAATTGAAACCAATTGGACCAATTTGGACCAATAGAAACCATTAGGACCAATAAGACCAATAAAAAACAATAGGGCCAATAGGACCAATAGAAACCAACAGAAACCAATAGAAACCAACAGATCTAGGCATCTCATGAATATTCATTATCACTTTACACGTGTCACAGAAAAATAAATTTATCATGATTTGTTAAGCAAATTATGACAATGCACATCAATTTTGTGATTTCTATATTCCTTCGGCAATTATTAACCAACAGATTATTTTGTCTGATCATGCAACAATTACATTCACGTTTTAGCAATAGATATATTGATTATATGATTACTAACCAATAAACAACATGCATATTTAGTATATATATGTGTATGAGCCTATGTCACGTCTGTAAATCAAATTCTTGAATTCTCTTCAAATGATCTATGTGATGAAGTTAATGCAAGTGAGATTGGAATATACCTAATTGGTGGACAGTTGCCAATATCGATTATGAAGTATCAATAATTTATCACTGGTTCTTCTAACTGGATCGATTTACCAATTGAATCCCCATTGAATGCCCCCCATTGAATCCCAATTCAATACCAATTGGCAATTTGGAGTACATGGAAAGAAACAATGGGTACCCATTGAAACCAATTGGCAATTAGTCCCCATTGGAACCAATTGGCAATTGGTCCCCATTAAAACCAATTGCCAGTTGTTTTCAATGGGGACCAATTGCCAATTGGTTTCAATGGGTACACATTGTTTCACTTTCCATTTACTCCAAATTGCCAATTGGGATTCAATGGGGACATTCAATGGGGCTTCAATTGGATTTTCGTTTTGGGTGGTTAACATACTGGACAGATCTTTGATTACTTAATAAGCTAAATGGTACATTGAGGCAGTAACACACACTTCAATGCATCATTAGTTTGTGTATGAATGTCAGCCACAACAAAAGATTACATCAGAATACATCTCAAAAATAAACATTAAAGAGGACAATGACAATTTTGATGGAGAATGCAAAAAGATGGCATTATGTAATGTACTGAATGAGCAGGGAGGGAGAAAAGTTTCATTCAGCTTGTATTAATTACTAGCAATTCAGAAATTAAAGAATATACAATGTATAGAAAGTAGGAGTGTGTACTCACAATAGCTACTTTGCACATGGAATGGAAAACTGCCCTTAAAAAACAAAAAAAGCCTTAATATAGCAAAATGAAATATATAGGAGTACTGTGTTTCATATTTATAGTACATGTATGTACCTTACTACCATAACTAAATGATTAAAGCACATCTGTACTAGTTTACTTGAGGGATTTGACCACCCTGTAAGGTCACTGACAGGTGGTTATCTCATCAATTCTGCTCTCACTTAACTTAAGAAAAAGAAGATCATGGGGGACCAATCAATGGTCACCGATTAGGCATCGTTTGCTATATAGAGGGCGCAATTAAGTAGCTATAAGTAGTGCAGTGGGGCTTAAAGTGTAAACTTAGGGGCCTGTGTGGAATGTCGTTGCCCTGTCTCACTTTCTGGGTTACACCTACCAGCCTCATTGGCCACTGACTTCATGAGATCCAAAAGCTTCCAAACTTTCTCTTCTTGAGCAAACTTGGAGAAGCTTGGAGAACTCTCATTCACTCCAGGTTGGGTTTCCATGAAAGCTACTCTGCTGCCCTCTGGAGCTGATTCACGTGTCATCTTACCCGACAACCACCCTCTGAGGTGTCAGTGCATGCAGAGAGGAGATGTACATGAGATGAAAAGTGAAGATAATGAAATAAGGGATGGTGTAAAGGTGATATAGCAAAGCAAGAAAGCTCATTCACACTAGGTGGTAAACAAGAGTTTTTTTAAAGTTTGCAGGTGAAAAGCGTTTGATATCAACGTGATGCACTGCAGAAAGGAGTAGGAAACAGTAGTGCAAGTGGAGTTAGAATGATGTGATGTGATGACCTGTTGGCTGTGATGAGGGTCAAATCGATACATGTCCCGATAGTTTGTTACGACTCAGGGAGAGTTGAGAAAGTGGACTTGCTCTAAGAATACATGCTCATGGACATATTAATCAATAACTGCAAAATTTTGCTGTATGTTGGGTTAAAAAATATAACCTTTGGGGCAATAACCAAAAAAATTGTCAGCTTTATATTATTATAGGTTCTCTAAAAGAATCGATCGTCCTGATTCAAATATTTTGAAAAAAGTTGACATTATGGCTGGCACTCTGGCACAGTGATACTATCGATTCAGCCAATTTGAAATTACGATATGTATAGAGATTAAAACTTTTTTAACTTCATGATTTATCATTTTGTCTGATTTTGTTTGAACTTTCACCAGACTGCTTCTATGATTTTCTGCTTTTTTTTCTTCTTTTTTTATATTAGTAAACTATCAAGGTTGAATTTCCCTTTAAGACAAGAGATGAGGCTACTTTAGATTTCTCATTGCTTGATGTTAACATGGGTGTTCATTCTTGGAAAAACTCCATTTTCCCAAGACCCCCCCCGAGTCAAAACCAAACAAACATATCCGTACATGTATCAATTCAAACCACATAACATACCGTAGTTATTATTTTACCTTGTTCATCTGCAATCGACTTCATAATGTCGAGCAGAGTCCACACTCTCTCTTCGCCTGCAAATTCTGAGAAGGAGGGATGGCTCTGCTTAGCCATGTCTGGCCTGGTCTCAACGAACGCCACCCTACTCCCTTCCGGTGCGGATTCTCTATTCATTTTACCCGTTAGCCAACCGCTGTATTATTAGGCCAAATAAAAAAAAAAACATGTTCAGCGTCCTGTTTTTTTTAAATATAGGAAGGAGGATGCCCGTTTTTTTGAAAAATAGGAAGGAGGAGGCCCTTTTTTTTCGCTCAAAATGGCCGCTCAAAATGGCCGCTCGGTACATTTTTTCCTTGACAGTCGGGCTTTTTTTCAAGATGGCAGCTGATTTTTTTTAAATTTTTTTTTTTAATCAGAAATAGATTTATTTCAGCAGTGTTTTTCATGTTTTTTTTTCTTTAAAAAAAAAAAAAATTCAAAAATCAAAAATTTTCAACAAAAAAAAAGAAAAAAGGAGGTGGTCCCCAAAAAGGAAGCCGGCGGGGACGCTAAACATGTATATTTTTTTTAATGGCCTTAACACATTATTATAGTACCAAATTTTAAATTCTACGACAATTTTACTCTCCGCCAATCAAAGGCTATGATTTCAGTAGCTTATAACAGTTATTGTATCTTGTAATTGATAACAAGTTTAATGAAAACAGGGCCCTAAAGTCTCCACGAATGCCACCCTACTCCCTTCTGGGGGGGGGGGGATTCTCTATTCATTTTACCCGTTAGCCAACCGCTGTATTATTAGGTGCAAAGAGCAAGGCCCCCCGTTTCATAAAACACGTTATTAATGCTTATTAATTTTGCTCTCCGCCAATCGTATGCTACAAGTTCAGGAGGTTATAACAGTTATTGTATCTTTTAATTGATAAAAATTGAACAAAATCCAATCTGAGTAATTGTAGGTAGGAACCCTTCTTATTTATAACACCTGTGCGAGACTATGGAGACTACAGCACATGGGCCTTGTAAATATATACACAGCCAGTTGGAACTTGGCTCCACTCAAGTCAAAATATATTCTGTTAAAATGTTACCTTAGGATCTAAGTTGACTAATTGATATAGGAGCTCGTATACCTCATTTACAATGTCTTGGCCATTTTCCATTTGGGTATTTGTATCCATTACTTTTTAAATCAAAAGAAAAAAGCCATATGCCTACCAAATTAGACTAGAATTTAGTCATTTGAAGACTTAACTGGGGTCAACTTTGGCTGGACTCCATTGAAAAATGTGTGTCATTAAAGTCAAACTAACTGCACTGAACAAGAAGAAATGTGTGAAAGTATTATATTTCATGCTGCTTATCTCATTTATTGAAAATACTATTCCAACTAGCACTCCAATTGTTTCCCTTTTCAACTTAAATATTAATACATATTTAGGAAGCAATATATATGATTCTTTTTCCAATGGATCAAAGGCCTTAAGGAAAACGTTTTGTTCTAATTTCATGGACAAATTGGAAACTTAGGTTTTTAGGGACTTATAAATCATTTAGAATGTGTCTGTACCTTTCGTACACTGTAGATTCATAAGAGAGAATAATATGTTATATGATGAAGCAAGTAGACTTACCCTTTTAGCGGACTCCACGGTAGAATACCAAGGCCTTCATTCTTACAGCAGTCTATCAACTCCCATTCTAACTCTCGGTTTAGAAGACTGTACTGGGCCTAATGAAAGAGAAAGAGAAAGAGGGGGGGGGGACATCATGAAATGTCTTAATTCTTTCAGCAAAAATACCAACTCCAATTTTAACTCTCGATTTAGAAGATTGTACGGGGCCTAGACAGAGAAAGAGAAAGCTGAGGCACATACACATCATGACAGACCTACATTCTACAGCAATAATAACAACTGCCATTTTAACTCTCAGTTTAGGAGATTGTACTGGGCCTAGTGAGAGAGAGAGAGAGAGAGAGACAGACAGACAGAGAGAGGGAGAGTGATGGAGAGAACATCATCAAATGCCTTAATTCTTACAGCAATCTACTGTCTAACTCCCATTCTAACTCTTGGTTTAGAATATTTTACTGGGCCTAGAGAGAGAGAAAGAAAAAGAAATATTATGAAAGGCCTTCATTCTCACAGCAATCAACAAAATCCAATTCTAACTCTTGGTTTAGAACACTGTACTGGGCCTAAAGAGAGAGAGAGAGAGAATGAGAGAGAGAGAGAGAGAGAGAGGTAATGAAGAGAACACCATGAAAGGCCTTCATTCTTAAAGCAATAATACCAACTCCAACTGGGCCTAAAGAGAGAGGGAGAGAAAGAGAGGGAGAGAAAGGGGGGGGGGAGAGAGAGAGAGAGAGGGATTGATGGAGAGAACATCATGAAAGGTATTCATTCTTACAGCAATCTACAAACTGTGTTGTAACATCATGAAAATATTTAATATGGTATTAAAACTGCCATAGACCAAAAACACAGTGTATGCACATTTTCCACTCCCTTGGAAGCATTCCAACCAGGCGCCATTTTAAAGATGCTCACAATGCTGAGCAAGCTACCAGAACTTTTGCATCCTACCTGGTACTTATTGAACTCCTGGGTGGAGAGTGGCAAACATGGATTAATGTCTTGCCAAAAGACGTCTGAACCTTCAACCTCAAGTGAATGAACCACTATACCAAGACACCCAGGTAATAGTGAGCACTAAAAAAAAGGGTTTTTTTTTCCCCTCAACCACGCCCCCCCTTGAGTGAAAAAAAAGAGGATTCAGGGGGAAAAAATGGCATCCCTTTTGAGTAAGAAAATCGAATGAAAATAGGAAAAAATTGGGGAAAAATCAGGAAAAATAAGGGAAAAATCAGGAAGAAAACTAGATGGAATTCGACTGCGCGCAGTCGAAAATGATGCCTCCGTCATAGAGCAATTTTACAAACCGAAACGGAAGAAATTTTTCAAATTCAAGTTCAATTGTAATCCATTAACATGTTCTCAGAATATCGTGATTACAAGCAATTTCTCATATACATATATGACCCTTTGATCTTTGACCTCATGACCCTAAAATCTACTCAGTTCATTGGCTCTGCAAGATTTCCTGAGTTAAATAGTAATCCATCTGTCAGTTCTAATGAGAATGCGTCCACAAGCTATTTTTGCATACATAATGAGCCCATGACCTTTGATCTTATGAACCATTCATTGGCTCTGCAAGATACATAAATGATCTAAGTTTGGCAGGAATCCATCAATCTGTTCTAATGATAATACGATCACAAGCTATTTTTGCATACATAATGAGCCGCATGACCTTGACCTTTACCTCATGACCCCAAAATCTAATCAGTTCATCAGCTCTGCAAGTAACATACATGACCTAAGTTTGGCAGGAATCCATCAATCGGTTCTTGAGATAAGGCGATCACGAGCTGTTTTTGCATACACAATGTGCGCTGTGACCTTTGACCTCGTGACCCCAAAATCTAATCAGTTCATTGGTATTTGCAAGATACATACATGACCAAAGTTTGGCAGGAATCCATCAATCGGTTCTTCAGATAACGCGATCACAAGCTGTTTTTGCATACATAATGAGCCCTGTGACCTTTGACCTTTGACCTCGTGACCCCAAAATCTAATCAGTTCATCAGCTCTGCAAGATACATACATGACCAAAGTTTGGCAGGAATCCATCAATCGGTTGTTCAGACAAAGTTTGGCAGGAATCCATCAATCGGTTGTTCAGATAACGCGATCACAAGCTGTTTTTGCATACATAATGAGCCCTGTGACCTTTGACCTTTGACCTCTTGACCCAAAATGTAATCAGATTGTTTTCCTATAGTGATACACACTATCACTAAGTTTGAAGTTTAAATCTCCAGTGGTTCTTGAGATATCATGATAACAATCTCAATGTATGGAATTTCATAAGTTGACCTCTGTGACCCTTGACCTTTGACATACGTGCTCCAAAATCTAATCAGATCGTCTTCCTATGGTGATACATACTATCCTTAAGTTTGAAGTTTAAATCTCAAATGGTTCTTGAGATATCGCGCTAACAAACTCAATACAAGGAATTTCATAAGTTGACCTCTGTGACCTGTGACCTTTGACCTACGTACTCCAAAATCTAATCAGATCGTCTTCCTATGGTGATAAATACTATTCCCGAGTCTTAAGTTTAAATCTTAAATGGTTCTTGAGATATTGTGATAACGGTCAAACGGGACGGACGGACGGACGTACGGACGGACGGACGTACGGACGGACGTACGGACGTACGGACGGACAACCCGAAAACATGATGCCTCCGGCACCACCTTCGGTGGCGGAGGCATAAAAAAACAAATCGGGAAACCGATTTAAATCGGGTAATTATCAGGCCTGGACACCTCCATGAAATCACTAACCTGTAGAGTTATCCATCTGTTGAACCCCTTGTACTGACACAGATCCATGATCTTCTGCATCTGCCATCCAGTCACGTTGCTGGCCCCCACGTAGCGGATCTTACCGGCTCTCACCAGGTCATCCAGGGTACGAACCGTCTCCTCGATGGGTGTGGCAGGGTCCCAGGCATGAATCTGATGAAAACGGGAAATACATGTAGATGGTATCATCAGAAACTGTCTTGCTATCAATAATAATAATAATAATAATAGTGGGTTCTTGAATAGCGCTCATGTCTGCCAGATTTGACGCTCCTGGCGCTCCCGGTTATTACCCTGGCTTTAGCACGGCTGCCATTACGGCGCTCTAGCATTCAAGGAATTAATTCCTGCCAGGTATGCATTTACATCACCTGGGTTGAGTGTGGCAAATGTAGATCAATGTCTTGCCAAAGGACATAAGTGCCATGTCGGGGATCAAACCACGACCTTCTAATTTCAAGTCAAGTGCTTAAACCACTGGACTACAACACTTCTTCAAGAAAAATGTTTTTTAACTTGTTAATCAGTGAGTCATGATTACAAGACGTCTACTCATCTTCACAGCACTTTCTTGCGGTCCATCAATCCTGGAGCAACTTGGGGTGCGTTCAAGCGATTTTTTGAAGCTAGAATCACAAACTGAATCACAAATCAAAACGCCATTAAAAGGTTACTGCAGGAGAGCATTCAAGCGATTTTTCATCAACGCTGATTCTCTCTAAATTTAAGCCCAGTCACTGCTCATCACACTGTAGTTTGACCCGAGAAATATAGGTCAACTTCGCTGCGTGCTTTTTGAATTTGTTTACTATTATTATAATAATTATTATCATTAATATTGATATTATTGTTGTTATTATGTCATTGATAATCATTAATTAATATTTTTATTATTATTATTGTTATCATTATTATTATTATTATCATTATTATTATTATCATTATTATTATTTTTATTATCGTTATCATTATCATCAGTAGTCATAGTAGCTGTAGTAGTACATGTAGTAGTAAAGGGCCTACCTAGAACCCTAATCCAACTTGGGTTGCCTGCACACAATTTTCAGGTTATGCTTTATTCTATTCCTAGGACTGGGTAAAGGTTTTTTGGAGTTGATTTTATATGAATTAACACAACAGCTGTATACAAATTGTTTTCTTGTGTGAATAACCCCCTTTTAAGAAAATGGGTATCAAGAGAAATTTTGGAAACTTGGATTCATCCGCAGTTAAAAAAAAAAATTATAATTATAAATTCAGATAACATCTCACCTGGTACAGATCAATGTAATCGGTCCTAAGCCTTTTCAGACTTTCCTCCACACTCCAGGTGATGTTCTTACGACTCAGTCCTCCAGAGTTCTGATTGTTGGAATCCATTTGAAAACGACCCTTAGTTGCCAGCACAAAGTCTTCTCTCTTTCTCCTATTTAACATTGAGAGGAGGAATGTGAGATAATTATAATTTTTTCCTTTAATAGGAAGAAGCAAATGGGTGTTTCCATCATTTTTTCCAAGCTAATTGCATCAAATGATTTGGACCTTTTGGGAAATCACATCTGGACAGTCAATTAAAAAGTTTGAGAACCCCTTTCCGAGGGTATATAATAACTGTCACAGCTGATAAGTTTGTCAAATTTTTCCCATAATACATATGTACATCACAAGAAATCGACTAAACCCTGGAGTCTGTAAATGGCGCTGTAAAGTTTCTATTCAGGAATAAATATGCATGAGCAGCGTTTTACAAAACCGTCATGAATACAAGTTCGCCGGCAACCCATTTATACATGTGTTTAAATAAGGTGTAGGGGAACTTGTACTTTTGTGAAACGATGCCCTACAAACTAGGTTAGATTTTATCACACATACATGTAATCTATACTGTTTCCGTAGTTTCAATATCAAAATTCTCATACACTGTACAGATTTCATTCATCTTAATAAATTCACCACATAACTTACTTCTAATAAAACTTTCACTTTATCTTTTAAAGGCCGGCTGTACTAGTTTGGCCAGGAGAGATTAGACCACACAGCAAGGTCACTGACAGGTGGCTATCTCATCAACTCAGCTCTCAAATAACATAAGAAAAAGAGGATCATGGGGGACCAACGGTCACTGATTAGGCATTGTTTTATATATAGAGGGAGCAAGTAGCTACAAGTAGTACAGTGGGTATTTAAATCTTGTTGATCTTACTTTGCCAACCAGCTACCCACGATGGATTCAGAGACGCCCATTACATAGACATTAGCGGTGTCTATAAAGTTTCCTCCAAGCTCTGCGAAGCGGTCCATGATCTTATGAGCTGCTGCTTCATCACATTGCCCAGGTCTGTTTGGATTCTGTAGCATATGATAAATTTTAGAAACAAAAGAATTCAATACTTTTAGCAGAGTAGTGAAAATCTTCTTCTTCTCCTTCTGCTGTTCTTCTTATTAATATCATTATACCGTTACTTATTTTTATCTTCCTCTTCTTTCTTTCTTTCCCTTTCCCCTTCCCCTCCCCCTCCCCCTCCCCCTCCCCTTCCCCCTCCCCCTCCCTCTCCCCCTCCCCCTCCTCCTCCTCCTCCTCCTCCTCCTCCTTCTTCTTCTTTTCAATATAGATTTCTAGGGCTATCCAGTCTATTATTTTTTTTTTTATTTTTTTTTTTTAGTCTACTCCAAATTTTATTAAACCGAAAATGAAAATTCTTTTTGCCCAATTAATCATGAGCCCGGCAGCCACTGAGCAGCGCCAGATCGACGTTGCTCTATCCCTTATTGTTGAATGCCAAACAAGGTAGCAGCAACTCCCATCTTTTAACGTCTCTTGGTATGACGCGGCCGGGGATCGAACCCACGACCTCCCGGTTGTGAGGCGGACGCTCTACTGACTGAGCCAACACTCCGGTATGAAGATGAACTAAAGATAGTAAATTGTGTGAGGAAGATAAATTCATACATTTTATTTAGGTATGGACATTAGAATAGATGCCTTTGAATTGCATTCAATTTTAATTTCAATTAAAGGTATTAAAAAATTTTGGTATGGGGTCATGAATTTGGTTCAAATTAACATATTGGAAGCATATGCGTTCCTACAATATACATTGATCGTTGTCGCGGTTGAAATCGAGTCTAAAATTATGAAATTATAAATAATAAACTCTTTATGTTGTATAGCTCCCTCTCAAGGTCAAGATATTAATTTAGCTATGAAACAATGTTTCTTGACTGAAATAGAATATTATATTATTTATATTCAATTTTTTCTCGAAAACAGAAGTGTTTTAGGGGCTACTTTTTTATTACTTATAATACATGTACATCCACAGGGGCATCCAAATATATCAAAATTGTAAAGATTCACTATCCACCCAATTTTCAAACTTTCCAAAACTTTGTATTACCTTTAAAACATATCAAATACAACTTACATGTAGATCTAGGAGCCATATCAAAATCATTTTGATATGGGACTCCTTGTAAATTTTGATAATTCTGAATTCAGGAGTCTGCCAGATATTAAGTTTTAGAATCTATGAAATCTGCATCAAATTTGTAATATAATTTGTATGATGTTCACAGTTAAATTTTCCAAAGCAGTGGCTGGTAAATTCTGTGATAATTCATATGTACATAATATTAGAAGAGTATCTACATGTAGATTACTGAGAGAGTCCAAGGTACATCCTTTTATTGGGGGCGGAGTCTGTGGACAAATAAAACATTATTTTTAGGTTAGGTTCTTAAAAATAAAAAACTCAAAACTTTGAAAATTAAAACACCTTTGACTTAATATTTACAAAGTACTGCATCGTCTATATCCTAAATTGTATATGTATACACTTTATTGGCAAAATCCCACGTGTATTCTATTGTTGGTAACATTGATATAAGGTTCGAGGTCCAAGTTTGCCATTTTACAAACATTTTCAAATCACGCTCAGCGCTCATCAAACAAACACAAACACCAATGATCCGGACTGAGGAAAAAAAAAACACTATTGCAGTTTTGGGATCTCACAATTGCTTTACCTTGCTTTGCCCAAACGTCATAGTTCCAAGGCAGATATTGGACACTTTCACTCCTGTTCCACCGAGGTACCGATATTGGACAGCCATGATAATCAAATCCGGGTAGAATGGTCGTTTATAAACCCTCAACAAAAATTAAACACTCGGTCAAATTTGCAAGCGTCTGTCGATGCGCTATGCTCGTCAATGATGTCGTCTGCTTACTGTATAGTATCATGTATCAGCGTCTAATAAAATAAAGCCTTCTCTTTTGCCCTTTAAATTTGTAGCGCCCGCACCCCGAGGGAGGGGGCATACCTATTAAAGGAAGACAAAATAAGAAAGGTGTTGACTGAGATGCGTGGCAAAAACAAAGTCTTTATTACTTAATCTTCTACAATAACAGTCTTTTCTTACAATAACATATATACGATCAAATGGCATAACAATAACAATACTCTTCAAGTATTAAACACAAATAAATCTACCTGTTCGCATACATTGAATTCATTAGCTCTCAGTGTTCTCTTACTATATCACTAAGAACATCATCTGGTTAGTTTCATTACTTTACTATCTCTAAACGAAACTATCCTTACTTCCATGCTTTATGTAAAATGCAACTCTTCATCGATCTCATAATCATAACTTGGCTACTAATAAATAACTTAACCCTTATCAAATGTCTATAACATTGCGGTATCAGTCAATCTACTTTAGCTTCTAATCATATAACTCTTCACTTAGCGTCTCTTTCAAGAAATCACATATATAGACCTAATACAAGAATGTTGGCATAATCATCCCTATACTATTGCCTAATAAGCTTTCTACTCTTTACGCTCCAAGACTGAGGATCCCTTGTGCACATAGACCCTTAGAATGTAATTCTACTCTCAGCCTTCACTAATCCCTAAATTCACAAGTTACTTCTTGTCTCAGGACTTCACATTAATACTGAATAAACTTATAACTCTTCCTTAACTATAGCTCATGTATTTTCCAATAGTCATCTGCATCACTTTGATCTAATACTATCTTTTTCAGCGAGATTACTGAACTTGAAAAGATACATCTTCAACAACTTATATCCTGAACTTCTTACAATATTCACAGCACTGTCAAATAGTCTTAGTCTGCAGTCTGTACTAATAGCTCTAACAAACTTACAACCAATATTACGAATTCCTCTTACTGTATAATCTCATCTTCACATACAGTTCATATTCTAATTCTAAACAACAACCAATAGTTTTACTAAATACATGTATATTCATTTCATGGTTATATATACAAAGCAAAGTGAGAGTGAAAGAGAAAGGGTGAACCATACAGAGAGAGAGAGAGAGAAAAAGAGAGGGAGGGAGAGAATATAAAGAGAGAGGGGGGGGGGAGAGAGAGGGAGATATATATATATATATATATATATATATAGAGAGAGAGAGAGAGAGAGAGAGAGAGAGAGAGAGAGAGAGTAATTCCCAATAACATTTAACCTGAATTATCATTCCTAACAATATAATACAATGAATTCCAGACAGTGATTATGCAAGTCTTCAACTACAATATTTCATCAACCCATCCATCACTAGCTAACTATTAGACAATTTGACCATGTGTTTCTCAACAAGTGTATTCCCCAACTCAAATCCTTTGTCTTCTCATTTTGCTGACTCTACCAAACTTTCATTCCCGCCTAAGATACCATTTTCCAGCATGGGCAAAAAGCAAACAAAGCTTGGGGAGAGGGGATTAAGAACTTTGATAAGAAGTTGTGTTTACACTGCTTGCACTGCCATTTCCCGATAACACACTAGTATTGTACACATGGTGCGTCCACACTCACTCATACCATAATACTGAAAGTTAAAGATAATCTGGACTTGAACCACTCATTTCGCTATCAAAACTGTATCTAACCAAACTATAATATATAACAATGTGCTTTGGCATAATGCATAGTAAATGGCACATGTCCTTGGCTAAGAATATATATATACACATGAATATCGAGCAAAAGACAAATATACTGACAGTTATAAAGTATATTCTCTTCTCAAAACTTACTTAAAATGTTGTCTAAATCAAACAACATAATCATCAATCTCACATACACACAGTAATAGTTTCCTATCATTACTACAAGTAATTACTATGTACATCAATGACATTATCTCTTCCCACCTGGCATCTCTTCCCACATGGCATTTCTTATATTTCCACCCATAGTCCACATGTCATATAATCCAACATCTCATAGCCAAAGACCATTAATATCTCTTTTTATACAGTAATACAAGATATATGAATAGTGAAGCTATAATAGTTTAGAAATACACATATTATGAACAACAAGAATATAACACAATTGAATAATATAAGATTCTTTCTTACCTATGAAAGGAAGACAAAATAAGAAAGGTGTTGACTAGGATGCATGGCAAAACAAAGTGAGAAGCCACTCCTGGTATCCCAGCTGGTGTGTTTAGGTTAGTTGTGGGTGAGGCCACTCTCGCAGGAGGGGGTACCTAATTAACTAAGAGGAGGGACTATATGGGGGCTAGAAATATACTTGTGTCACACATACATAGTCAAAGATATACAAAAAAATAGGGGGGGGGGGTATTCTGTGGGGCTCCACACCTTCCCCTCCAAAAATAAATGTCTCCTGGACATTTCAACTTTCAAACATTTACATCAATAATTCATGATTATAGTATAACATTTTTAACGTTCATATAGTTCTTGTTCAAGGTCGTCATGAACTTAGGACAGATCAGGGAGGTGAGACTTATCACCAAAGTCCATGAAAGTCTATGTCCTTGCAACGCTGACAGATCATCGTGCTCCAATTCTTCTGCGAAATACATGTAGTACATCGAGTTCATAATATACACTTGTTGCAACTTGTTATAGCGAAACCTAATAGGTACTTGAAGTCTCAGAATTACATATCATAATATCGTATCAGAATTACGTGGCTTTTTCTTCCATACAAATAAACTTTGCGAAACATTAACCCATTCTACGGGCGCGCCTGACATACGGTGAAGGTTTCTTGGAAAGCTCGAGACTCATTCCGAAGACTTTATCACATAGATCAATTGATCACTATCGAGTGTCATCGCTTGTTTCCTTATAGGCTTATACACCACAATTTATGAAACGATTTACAACTTGTTTCATCTTACTACTTCGCGTTACTCGTACTTCGGGTTTACTAAACAGCTAGCACACATGATTCTAAATAACGATGCATCTAATGTAAAACAAAATATTAAAAACAAAAAAGAATCCGTTTGTGGCATTCCTCAATGATCGACTCGCTCACTGGGAAAATTGAAGCTGTTCTTCTGTCATATGACGTTGGTAGTGGGTTGGTTGCTGGTGGGCTACTGGCGTCTGCATCTGTAGAGGCATTTGATGAGGGTAGAATGGTGGGTCATACCGGTACTGGAAAGGTGCTGGGGGCTGGGCTGTTGAGGATGGCGGCTTGGAGAACCCCTGGACATCCTTGACTCCACTCACTGCTCCACCATCTATTTCCTCCCAGTAAGGGTGAAGCTTCCCTTGGCCACCTGGAGGGGCCAGACTTCGCACCAGGGCCCTATCCCCTTGCTGTAGCACCCTGCTGCATACTGCACGCTCGTAGTAGCCTTTTCTCCTCTCTGCAGCTTGTCCCATTCTCTCTGATGCTGAGCCAACCTCATTTCCAATCAGGGATGGTCTTCTCCGGCTCTCTGACTTCTGGTCCTTTTTATCCTAATCGTTACATCACTGCTTCTTCGATTATCCAACTGTTCGTGTCATAGGACGACACATCGTCCTCGTGTCTCTTCGACGATGGCCGTCCTGGCAAGGTCGCCAAATTTGTAGCGCCCGCACCCCGAGGGAGGGGGCATACCTATTAAAGGAAGACAAAATAAGAAAGGTGTTGACTGAGATGCGTGGCAAAAACAAAGTCTTTATTACTTAATCTTCTACAATAACAGTCTTTTCTTACAATAACATATATACGATCAAATGGCATAACAATAACAATACTCTTCAAGTATTAAACACAAATAAATCTACCTGTTCGCATACATTGAATTCATTAGCTCTCAGTGTTCTCTTACTATATCACTAAGAACATCATCTGGTTAGTTTCATTACTTTACTATCTCTAAACGAAACTATCCTTACTTCCATGCTTTATGTAAAATGCAACTCTTCATCGATCTCATAATCATAACTTGGCTACTAATAAATAACTTAACCCTTATCAAATGTCTATAACATTGCGGTATCAGTCAATCTACTTTAGCTTCTAATCATATAACTCTTCACTTAGCGTCTCTTTCAAGAAATCACATATATAGACCTAATACAAGAATGTTGGCATAATCATCCCTATACTATTGCCTAATAAGCTTTCTACTCTTTACGCTCCAAGACTGAGGATCCCTTGTGCACATAGACCCTTAGAATGTAATTCTACTCTCAGCCTTCACTAATCCCTAAATTCACAAGTTACTTCTTGTCTCAGGACTTCACATTAATACTGAATAAACTTATAACTCTTCCTTAACTATAGCTCATGTATTTTCCAATAGTCATCTGCATCACTTTGATCTAATACTATCTTTTTCAGCGAGATTACTGAACTTGAAAAGATACATCTTCAACAACTTATATCCTGAACTTCTTACAATATTCACAGCACTGTCAAATAGTCTTAGTCTGCAGTCTGTACTAATAGCTCTAACAAACTTACAACCAATATTACGAATTCCTCTTACTGTATAATCTCATCTTCACATACAGTTCATATTCTAATTCTAAACAACAACCAATAGTTTTACTAAATACATGTATATTCATTTCATGGTTATATATACAAAGCAAAGTGAGAGTGAAAGAGAAAGGGTGAACCATACAGAGAGAGAGAGAGAGAAAAGAGAGGGAGGGAGAGAATATAAAGAGAGAGGGGGGGGGGAGAGAGAGGGAGATATATATATATATATATATATATATATATATATAGAGAAGAGAGAGAGAGAGAGAGAGAGAGAGAGAGTAATTCCCAATAACATTTAACCTGAATTATCATTCCTAACAATATAATACAATGAATTCCAGACAGTGATTATGCAAGTCTTCAACTACAATATTTCATCAACCCATCCATCACTAGCTAACTATTAGACAATTTGACCATGTGTTT